CAATTGCTTTCTTGGATTAAACTGATGGTTCTAAATGAAAAACAAAATTAGGTGCAGATGTTCAGTATATTGAGATTAATTTTATTCTCATGGGTAAACCATTTCTTCAGTTTCTTGGACTAACAGTAATTTGTTTCCAGAGAAGTGAACATGTGCCAAAATAACTAAGTCAAGCAGCACAGCTCAGTAAGTTTTTCCACACACATATACATAAAGTAGATAAATGTTTCCAATAAACAAAAGGTCTCGCATTTGTATTAGTAATGACTTTCTATAAAAGTAAAATAAAATCCATTCAACCAAGACATGTCAGAACCTACTAGATTCAGACAGATTCAAAAACAAACAAAAAGAGCTACTTGCCTGGGGCTCCAGCCTAGTAGAAAAGAGACAAATAAGCAATAATTACAATATAAGGTAATGGGGCTCAAATAGAGATGGGAGCAAAACAATTTGGGAATATGAGCTTTTCCCACTAATGAACCCAAGAAAAGATAACATAATATAGTTCACTATCACACACACACAAATACTAAAAACATAATAAATAGTATGAGAATGTTTGGTCTTCTCACGTCAGTAATAACAATGACTATATATTATGGGTATAGATATTTTATAAAACACTTATGTATTACAAGGTAGATCAATCAGCTTTAATTATCATTTAATATCTTCATCCATGATCTTTGTAAGCAACTTAAGAGCAGGAATCATGTTGTCCACCTTTGTGTTCCAAGGCCCAACACGATGCCTGTTACATAATAGTTTTAACACATGTTGAATGAATGAATGTATACACATATACATGAGTGTTCATAATGACAAAAATAGCATACTTCTGCATTCATGGATACCAGAATTGAGTGGGACAGACAATACTTGGAAAGGATATTTGATACCCAATATATCAGAAGGTTCACTAAGCAAAGGGAAATGAAGTTTAATAGGGACGGGTACTGAGAGCACCTATCTATAAGTTAACATATGTGATTCATTTTTTTCATATTCTCTCTAGTTGTATAATTATGACTACATAGTAGATATTCAACAAATGCTTGTTGAATGAACACTTCTATCTCCATAATATATCTCTTAAACCCAACTCCTCTCTATTGGCCTGAACTATAATAGCAATCTATGGATCTCCACTCTTTCGCTTCCAAAGTAGCTTTAGTTGCCATATTAGTCCCCCTAAAACACACTGATCATGTAACTTTTATTTTCAAATTTCCCAAAAGGCTCCCTAGTATTCAGGATCCCTCATTAAAAAAAAAAAAAAAAAAAAAAAGAAATGCATAGGGAGTTCATAGTACAAAAGCCTGGAACTGACACAGAGCAGATACTAAATGGCCAAAAATTAATGAACTAGGTTGTGTTGGGAAAATTAGTTATCCATATACTTTAAAGTGAGAATGGATCCCTATACAAAAATCAATGTTATGTATTAAGAGATTTAAACATAAAAGAAAATATAGGATAATTTAAAACAATCTCTACTCAGCTCTCTAGTCTCCCAGCTGTTGTTTAATACTAGGTTTCTTAGAGCACCACCGTATACAAGCACAGTTTAGCAATCTGCTAAAAACTTGCGAGGAATTTGTATCCAGATTCTTGCATTCCTTCTCTGCAATTCCCTCCTCTCCAGGATTTTGACCTTCAAGTTATAGCCACTATTATCTCCAAACTCTGCCTCAGTTTCTTCAGCCCGGTAAGACTACTGCGTCCTGTTAGGGTTGTATTCTTTTGCATTCCAATTTGGAAAATGCCATAAAGAAAAGGCCAGGATGAATGTGGTGCTCACTTCATGTGTTTCTCGTCTTTGAATGATTATAGTCTCTTAGATCCTGCCTGTGCTGATTGTTCTCAATGCCTTCAAACAGTGTATACAGTATTTTATTCAGTTTTTACAGATTTTTTTTGATAGGCAAGTTAGTTTAAAATAAGCCATTATGGCCAGAATCGATGTCTAGTTATGAAACTGTCTTGTTGGTTTCTCATTTTTCTGATTCCTTGTTTTTAAAATTTTTTTTTAATGTATTTACATTTTTTTTTTGAGGCAGGGTCTCACTCCAGTCCCCCAGGCTGAAGTGCAGTGGTGTGATCTCTCCTCACTGCAGACTTCCTGGGCTCAAGCGATCCTCCCACCTTAGCCTCCTAAGTAGCTAGGAGTACACGTGCTCACTACCATGCCCAACTAATTTGCGTGTGTGTGTGTGTGTGTGTGTGTGTATTCAGTAGAGACAGGGCTTTGTCATGTTGCCCAGGCTGGTCTCAAACTCCTGCCCTCAAGTGATCCACCCATCTTGATCCCCTAAGGTCCTAGGATTACAGGTGTGAGCCACCACGCCCTGCCAGATTCCTTCTTTTAATTATAATGTTAAATAAAATAGATATTTTTTGAGACAGGGTCTCACTTTGTTGTCCTGGCTGGTCTGAAACTCCAGGGCTCAAGCAATCCTTCCACCTCAGCCTCCCAAGGAGCTAGGACTACAGGTGTGTGCCACTACACCCAGCTGATATTTTTTTGTTTTAAATAAATAGAGTCCCTCTATGTTGCCCTGGCTGGTCTCAAACTCCTAGCCTCAAGAGAGCCTTTTGCCTGGCCTTTCTAAAGTGCTGAAATTACAGGTGTGAGCCACTGTGATTGGCTGATTTCTTCTTTCATATCTTTAAGCATTCCATCAGTGGTTATTTTATATTGTGTCTCTAATGATGCCAATCACTGATTTTTTCATAGACTAAATCTGTTTGTTGTTTCTGCTGACTCTTATTCATAGTAGATTGCTCCCTTATGTGTTTGGTGATCTTTCATTGTCAGTTCATGTTTGGTTTATTTAATATGGGAAAATCCTGGAAGTTTAAGGTGAAGATGTTTTCTCTAAAGAGAATTTGTGCTTGTGTCTGTTTGGAGGCAAGGAGTATTACAGCCTTGGGACATATTATCTCCAGTTATTCTTTGAAAATTATTTGTAGATCATTTACTATCTTATTCCTTAATCAAAGATAGTATACACTATCTTTGATTTCTGAATGCTGGTGCTTTGTATAAAGCACAAATGAACGAACACAATGCCCAGATTTGATTGGACACAGGAGAATACTAAAGAATTATTACTATCCTTTGCTGGAAATTCAGACCCATTACTGCTTTTGGCAAGCATGTAAAAACAAACAGCAACACAGAGAAAGGAAGAAAATGCATAATTATCAGATACTTGAAAGAACGTGAAATCTGTTATGAAATCAACTATGTAAATACTGCCATATAAATCATAGTTCTATTAATTCTTTGATACTATGAAAAACTTATAATTAAAAAAATCAAAGTAGAAACAAAAAAACAAAAGAAAACAATGCATGGTATCTGATGAAAAGATTACAGCTAACAAGTCTGGTTTTACATTGCTCTTCTTTCAACCATCTTGGTCATATAATACTTCTACAGGATGTTATACTGTTGGATCATCAACTGAAATCCTCACTTGTTCCATGTAATCTGCTTGCCGTTAAGCTAGGTTCCTTCACTTCACATTTTTGAAGCTGAATTTTACACCTAAATCAATCATAATGAAAAATCTGAAGGGTATCAAAGTCTTAATTTTGTGGCTATTCCCAATGTGAACTGTTTGCTCTTTTATGATAACAAGTTAAATGGAGTTAACCTTTCTCGAGTGAATAATTTCATCAGCTGACAAGCCTAAATGAAAGGTTATAAATATCCGAGCAGTAGTTAAAACTGAGATTGAAAATGAGGGAGATTTTTTTTTAAATTACTATAATAAAAACCAAATTCAAGAGAAGTAACTTTGGAAATAACCTGCAGACCTAACTGAGAAGCGCATATAACTAGCATATTCAGTAGTATAACTCAATGTCAGCCTCTTTTTATGCATTCAACTAATGAAAGGTATTTTTCTAACCCCTTAATTAGCTATATCTGATTCACATTTTTAAATAGAAAATAACTCTAACAGTTCTCGCTGGATCTAACTCATTTTAATTGCTTTTTATTCCAACAATTCAGAAATCTAAAATAACAAAAAGAAAATACCAGGACTGGAAATCTATTTTATAGAACAAAATTATATGGAGGAAAAACAGTTTTTAGGTGAATAAGTCTTTAAATAAATGTAGAAGCTTCCTATTTTATCTGTTTGATGGCTTTAATCTTAAAAATCTGAGCTCTTAATAATACATTTAAAAATGTGAAATCACTGATATTGGCAACATAGTTTTAGATTTTTAAAAGTTGAAAATACATTCAGAAAATAAATTTATTTTATGCCTCTTAATGCCATATATTTCAAGAGACATTTCAACCTTTTAAATTAAATTAAATTAAATTAATTAATTAGAGACAGGGTCTTGCCCTGTCATTGAGGATGGAGTACAGTGATGTGAACTCAGTTCACTGCAGCCTCAACCTTCCAGGTTCAAGTGATCCTCCCACCTGAGCTCCACAAGTAGCTGGGATTGCAGGTGTGTGCCACCATGCCCAGCTAATTTTAAAATTTTTTGTAGAGATGTGGTCTCCCTATGTTGCCCAGGCTGGGATTTCGACTTTTTACAGTAAAAGTAACACTCATTAAGGAAAAAATTTTAAACCGTGAAAAGGAAAAAAATTCCACATATGTTCCCCAAATTTAAACCTAACCACTATTAATATCTTTGAGTACTTCTTTTTGGTCTCTATTTTTTCCCTATACACAGATTGGTAACATAGTTTGATCACATTGTCTATATAAATTTGATCACTTTTTTTCCAATAAACTTTAGATCATAGAATAAATTCTACTGTTCAAGGAACCTGGAATGCAGCTGCTGATAGTTATCTGTGCTTTTACTCTCTGTAGCTTAACGACAACTTTTAGAGAAAATATATAAAATCTATGAGTCATGCACTTGAGACTTTATTATCTGTCCATTGCATAGTTTCACTAATCAACTAGCAGATATCACACAAAACATTTACTCTTCAAAGAAATTTTACTTCTCACCTTCTGGGCTGCAAGATGGAGGGCTGTTCTCTGGCTATGGTCAGTTTTATTCACATCTGCTCCTGCCTTCAGGAGAGCATCTGCACAATCCAATCTGTCAGCCAACACGCAGTACATAAGTGGTGTTCTCCCAAATTGATCTTCTTTGTCTTTAAGAGCAGAGTTTCCTATGAGGACAAGAAACAGATAGTGATATTTGATAATTGTTATTACTAATATAAGTAGGAACTATATTTGCTATTTATTATCAAGCATTGTGCTAAATGCATTAAATATATCATCTTATTTTTACTTATCCTATGAAGTAGATATTACCATTGTCATATTATATGAAACTGAGGCTCAAAGTAGTTAAGTAACCAGTCTATGTTCACACTGAAAGCAGGTGGGGCTAGAATTTAAACTGATGACTCAATCATATTATGCTGAACGAACATTTTGAGATACAGAGCTACTTATGTTCCTCCCTCACTCACTCTTGTCTTTTGAAACAAATATTTAATTAATGCCAACTGTACACTAGGCATTGCGGTATGCTTTATGAGTGATACAAAAATGAATCATAGGCCAGGCATGGTGGCTCACACCTGTAATCCCAGCACTCTGGGAGGCCGAGGTGGGCAGATCACCTGAGGTCAGGAGTTCAAGACCAGTCTGACCAACATGGTGAAACCCTGTCTCTACTAAAAATACAAAAATTAGCCAGGCGTGGTGGCAGATGCCTGTAATCCCAGCTACTCAGGAGGCTGAGGCAGGAGAATTGCTTAAACCCAGGAGATGGAGGTTGTAGTGAACCAAGATCGTGCCGTTGAACTCCAGCCTGGACAACGAGAGCAAAACTCCATCTCAGGAAAAAAAGAAAAAAGTCACGGTTGATTTCCCTTTCTAGACAAGATGACAAGCTAGAGCAAGTACACAGTATCCTCATCCTCCTGCTAATTACAACTAAAATCCCCAGAGCAAAAGGCAAAATAAATGACAGGCGGAGAAGGGAAGGCAGCCTTGACTAGGAACTTTGAAATTTGAGAGACAACCTGTAGTAAGTTCCCTGAAGCATTTTTTGTTTGCTCGTTTGCTTTTGCCTCCAATCTAGTAAATTATAGGCTACAGTAGCCTATAATCCAGAAGCACCAAAGCACACAGATGCCAAATGTCTCAAGAGAAGTCTACTCTCTCTAGTAAAAAGACTGGCAGGCAGGTAACTCTGACGAGTGAACCATTTGACTACGCTGTACTCAAAACACATACAATAAAAGAAACTGTACCTCTTTTCCCCACTGGACACTATAGAGACTGTTGGGAGGAGCCCTGTCAAACTACCATGCCCTGAATTAAGCCAAGGATATCAATGAGGTAGTATTTTACCCCTTTCCAACTAGAGAGTAGGCGAGTAGGAGTATAGAGAGGACAAAGTTGGAGGAAGTAACTCTTTAAATTGGTATAAAAAGGTAGGACACTTTGGTATAAAAAGTCAGGACACTTTTGAGCAGCCCATGTGTGAAACTGGTATGAATCAAGATAGCAAAAGCTCTGAGAATTGAACTATAGTTAGATTACTGCCTTGGTTCTAAATGGGCCTGAGCAGCCCAGAGGTGGGGCAAATCAGAAGAGCCCTGCAAGATCTCTGAAAACGAACTTTAAAATGAAACCACAAATTCGAAAGAGAATGTTCATTCTAAACCTTGACAGATTGTCCATTTACTAAAATAAGATCCAGAGTCTCATAATACAGAAAATGTCAAAGATATAATACCAAATTATGAAACAACTCAAAAGTTTGGAAAATATTAATGTAAACAAGAAAAGACAATCAACAGGCACTGACACTGTGATGACACAGATATATTAGAATTATGTGACAAGAATTTTAAAACAACTCTCATAAAAATGCTCCAACAATCAACTATGAACACTCATGAAACAAATAGAACATTAGGAATGAAAAAAGAGCAGCAGAATGTAAATATCTGAGAAAAATAATAGACTGTTTTTATCCTCTTTAGCTTTGTTTTTTTTTTAAATGAGGGTCCCACTGTGTTGCCCAGGCTGGTCTTGAACTCCTGGACTCGGCTTAAGCAATCCTCCCTGCCTCAGCCTCCTGAGTAGCTGGGGCTACAATGCATGCCTGGCTTACCCTCTTTAATTTTTAGAATTATGTTTCCATGATTGAAAGCAAAAATAACCTTGCTGTATGATGTGGTTCTCAGTTTATGTAGAGGTGATTTTTAAAATAACGATATCAAAAAGAAGGGTAAAGGGACCTAATTAGTGATAAGGCTTCTATATTGCACTCGAAGTGGAAAACACAGACTGTGATAAAATAACTATACATATTCTAATACCAGATCATACACACACACACACACACTCAGAAACAAGTAAACAAAAAACCTCCAACAAAGACAAACTATACAAAGAGATTTATTTAAAAACACAATACAGACCCAGCAGGGTGGCTCATGCCTATAATTCCAACATTTTGAGAGGCCGAGGTGGGTGGTTCACTTGAGGCCTGGAGTTGGAGACCAGCCTGGCCAACATGCCAAAAACCGGTCTCTACTAAAAACACAAAAATTAGCTGGGTGTGGTGGTGGCACATGCCTATAATACCAGCTACTTGGGAGGCTGAGGCATGAGAATCACCTGAACCCAGGAGGTGGAGGTTGCAGTGAGCTGAGATTGCACCACTACATCCCAGCCTGGATAACAGAACAAAAACCACAATATAAGATACCACTTCACATACACTAGGATGGTTATAATAAAAAAGATACATAATAACAAGTATTAATGAGAATATGGAGAAATCAAAACCCTCATATACTACTGGTGGGAATCTAAAATGGTGCAGTCACTTTGGAAAATATTCTGGAAGTTCCTCAAAACATTAAGTAACCATTTGACCCAGCAATTCCACTCCCAAGTATATACCCAAGAGAAATGAAGGCATATGTCCACACAAAAACTGGTACACAAATATCCATTGCAGTATTATTCATGACAGCCAAAAGGTGGAAATAATGCAAGTATCCATAAGCTGTTCATCAACTGATGAATGGCTAAACAAAATGTTGTATACCTCTACAGTGGAATATTATTCAGCAAAAGGAATGAAGGTCTAATATATGCTCAACATAGATGAACCTTGAAAACATGCTAAGTGAAAGAAGCCAGTCAAAAAATACCACATATTATATATTTATGTGAAATATCTGGCACTGGCATATCTACAGAGACAGAAAGTAGATGAGTAGTTGCCTAGGACTGGGGGTTGGGCACAAATTTGAAGAGTAACAGCCAAAGGGTGAAGGGTTTCTTTGTGGGGTAATGAAAGTGTTCTAATATCATTTGTGGTGATGTTTGCCCAACACTGAATATACAAAATCACTCAGTTGTACACTTTAAATTTTGAATTGTAGGGTATGTGAATTATATCTTAATAAAGCATTACAAAAAACTCTACCATATATAAATTAAAATGGAATACTAAAAATATTCAAGAAATGGAAAGGACAGGAATGAAAAATAGAAGGAACATGCAGTGTTCAACACAATAAATTAGAAATCTTAAATCTTAACATTCATAATTACATTAAATGTAAATAGTGTAAACACACCAATAAAAAGGCTGAGATAAAAAAGAAGACTCAATTATATGCTATTTATAAAAAACTCACTTAAAATACAATAACATAGGAGGTTAAAAGTAAAAGAATGAGCAAAACTGTAATAAACAAATACTAACGAAATGAAAGCTGGAGTTAAGTATATTAATAGCTAATAAGGTAAACTTTAGAGAAAAGACAATTACCAGAAAAAAATAGAGATATTATATAACAATAAAAGGGTCAATTTACCAAGAATACATAAAATTCCTAAATGTATATGTACTAAATCACAGAGCTTCAAAACACAGGCAGCAAAAACTGATAGAATAGAAACACTTGAAAACACAATTATAATTGGTAACTTCAACACTCTTCTCTCAGTAATTGCTAGAATCACTAAAATGAAAATCAGTAAGGACACAGAAGAATTGAACACTGAAATAAAGCAACAGGATCTAACTGTTATTTATTTAACACTTCATCTAATGACAGCCAGGAATACAGTCTTTCAAAACACCCATGGGACCTTCACCAAAATATACAATATACTGGGTCATAAATGAACACCAACAGATTTAAAGAACTAAAGTCATACAAAGTGTATTATCTGATGACAATGTAATTAAACTAGAAATCAATAACAGAATGATAACAGGAAATAGAAAATATTTAAGATAATCCATGGGTTAAAGAAAAAATCTCAAGGGAAATTAAAAAGCATGATTAAATTAATAAAAACATATTGTTGTAAGGTTCTTGAACCACACATGAAGGAAGCTTAGAAGGAAATATATAGTAATGAATGCTTTTAATTAGAATAGAAGAATAGTTTCAAATCAATTATCTATGCTTCTACCTTAGAACACTAAAACAGAAGAGCAAATTTAACCCAAAACAAGCAGAAGGAAGTACATAAGAAAAATAAGAACAGAGAGCAATTACATTAAAATCAGAAAGAAACAGAGAAAATCAATGAAGCTAAAAGTTGGTTCTTGGAAAATTAAATTAATAAATCTCTAATTAGATTGATCATTAAAAACAGAGCAGACATAAATTCCCAATATCAAGAATGATATCATTACAAAGCCCGCAGACATTAAAAGGCAATTAAGAAAATGTCATAAGCTACAAACTCACAATTTAAGTGAAATGGACAAATTCCTTGGAAGATATACTCCTTCAAAATCCGTTTAAGATGTAGATACTCTCAACAGTACTTGTGGTAGGATAATTCTAAGATGGCATTCAAGACTTCCAGCCCCTGGTATACATGCCCTGTATGGCCCCCTCCTCTTGAGTGTGGGCAGAACTACGATGTCACTCCCATGATTAGGTTTTGTTATGTGGTAAATGTGAAGGGATTTTGCGGATGTAATTGTCTCTTAATCATTTAACTTCAAGTCAATCAAGAGAGATTAGTTTGGGTTGCTTTGATCTAATCAGGTGAGCCTTTCAAAAGAGTGTCTAGAGGTCAGAGGTAGAAATTGGAAAGATTTGAAGCAGCAGAGACACTTTCCTGCTGGCCTTGGAGAAGCAAAGTGCCATGAATTTTAAAATTG